CCTCCTAAGTAGCTAGGATTACAGTCATGAGCCACCAGCACCCAGCTAGAATTACTTTTATATAGTCAACTCTGATCTGTAATGAAAACCAAAATATTCAAAGCTCAGTAAATTATAGCTGATTATAATTTTTATTCATCTTCATTCTAATAATGATTCCCTTTTACTGCCTTGCCCCCTTAAAAAAATACCATTTTTTAAGTTCTGAAAAGACCATAACAATGTGAATGTACGGACCAAAGTCTTGATAGACTTCTGGCCATTACCTCCCTCAAAACTAAAAAAAACACAATCAACTTTTTTTAAACTTATTTCCTGGGGTTGGGGATTTAGCTCAGCGGAAGAGCACTTCCCTTGTAACTGCAAGGCCTGAATTTGGTCCTCAGGTCTGGGGGAAAAGGGGGAAAATGTATCTCCTTCCTTCTTATACAAATGACTATAGTTTTGTTTAGACGTGTCTTGTTTCTAAAATGATTATTTTCATCAAAATAAGGAAACTGTGTTTCAAAACTAAAAAGTATTCTAGGTCTTTACAAAGAATTTATATGTATGTGTATGCTCGCACTCACCTCAAAACACAAATAAGAACCAAGGACAATTTTAAGTTCCTTACTACAAATACTATATGTGGTAAGATAGGCCTAAGCTAACCTCCATGCACTCCGCCCCCAAAACCTCACCTAAGCACTCTTCTCCAAAGACACCACTCTTCAATGCTTGCTTAGCCTTCAGATGCTTACACACGTCTTTTTGTTTTAAACACACAGTATTCTACACAAAGGTATTTTTATTTGCCTTTAAATAGATAGCCTTCCTTGTTAGAATATATAAATCTACTTGGTTTTTTTTTTAATAATAGCATAGGATTCCATTGAGTGTATCTTAACCAGTTCCCTTCTGATAGACCTCAAAGCTGATTCAAGTGTCTCAGTACTAAATTGAACACTGCTATACAGAATATCAGTATTTATAAGACAAATTCCTAGAAATAACACAAAAAGACTTACAAAGCAGTAATGTAGGCAGTGTCCTCTTCTACTTCGTCAACCATTTTTACTACTTAGTTATCTTCTTGCCAAGGTGGTAGATGACCACAACATCTCATTAGTACCTGTCTCACATTTCTTGAAAGATAAGTATGTTTCTTAACCATTCACATTCCTTTGTTTTTCCTACTGGGTTAACAGTCTTTTTGTTTTTTTAAGAGAACTGGCAACCGGGCTACACTCCAGGTCTTTTTGTCCTAATCAAATTTTAGATAGGTTATTTATTACGCTTTTGCTTGGGGCAGTTCACAGACCATGAACCTCCTACCAACCTCTGTCCCACATACCTAGATTACAGGTGTACACTACCGTTTTGTTTTGTTAATAAAGATACAATCATGATAACTTTTTGCCTATGTCAGTCTTAAACTGTAATCCTCCTACCTGTGCTTCCCAAGTAGCTCGAATTACAGGCATTAGCCAGAGTGTACTACAGCTACTGCTGCGTTTTAATAAATTTAAAAATTGGGTTTTGTTGTTGTTGTTTGGTTTGGGGATTATTTTTTTGCTAGATTTTGGTCAAACGTGCTATAAATATTTGCCCTGATTAGCTGGCTTCAGTATTTGGTTTATGGTGTTGACAACCTGAAGAAATTTTTGTTTTTATCCAACATGTATCTGTCTTCTCCTCCATAGAAGGCACACACTTAGGTGGAAATTTGCTTATACTGCAATTTCTAAATTATTAAACAATGTAGATAATACATATACCAGCATCACTGGAGGTGGTTCTCTTTTGATATTATTTTTAAAACTACATTTCTATAAAACTTTCTATAGTCCACTAATAAGCAGTTCTGCATCAATCAAAAATTGTTTATAACTATTATATAAAGGTTTATGCTGAGTGCTGGTGGCTCATACATGTAATCCTAGCCACTGGTAAGATTCAGATCTAAGGTTTGTTGTTAGAAGCCAGCCCAGGAAAGAAAGTCCGTGAGACTCATATCCCAAAAAGCCAGAACTGGAGCTGTAGCTCAAAGTCATAGAACACTAACTTGAGTACAAAAGCTCATGGACAGCACCCAGACCTTTGAGTTCAAGCCCAGGAGCATATCACACTCACACACACACACAAAGGTTTATTACTTTTAAATGCAAGCAGGTTGGCTCTCCTCTCTTTAATCCTTAGATAATCTTAGACAGCATAAATGTAAAATAAAGAATGTTTTCCCTATTATACCTATATTTTGGTCATCTCTATGGGAGTCAATTCTTTCTATATTATCAAATTTGTAATTTCTCAATAACAGAAATCTGTTTCTGGTGCTATCAACAAAGTATATTGTTCTTTTTCATCTCCAGTTCTGAAACTAACAAAAAAAGAATCCTACCTTAAATCACAAATATAAAACATTTCTTGTAAATTACTATATGATTCAAACCACTTATGGCTAAATTAGTTGCTTAATCTAGTCACTCTCTCTCCATTACTCTATCTAGGGGGGGAAAAACCTGGTCATAAGTTTTCTTTCTCACAGTGCCAGCTGCCAGGCATTTAACAGCCTTCCATCTCTAAGCTGACTGGCATAAAAAACACAACTTGGAAGTTAAGGATATTGGCAGAATTTAAAGGAGAAAAAAGAATATTTTCCACAATTTGTACAGCACTTGTTTAAGCACGTATGTAAGTGTTTCCGAAGTGGTGGTCAATTCTTCAAACTACACTAGCAACATCATACTCCACATCAACTACTGACAAACTCCATTCAGTGGCTTCTGTCCCCTTCAGGGACCAAAGAAAAAGTTACTATTTTCTTTTACAAGTACTCATCCAGGCCTCTTCCACTGATGAAAGCAGGCAAAGCCCACGCTGTGTGTCTGTCTCCTAGAGAAGATTGCATCTTTTATTTATCGCCCTTTGGCTTTATTTTCACAGTGAATTCCTGGCTTAAATGCAATCAGCCAAGAAACCCTCCCTATGTGCTCTCCTGTCATTCCTCATTGCTTGCAAGCAGAGTCAAGCACAGAGGGGAGAAAGAAAAGAGAAAGGGGGGGGGCGCTCAACATTGCCAGCAAAGCCATAAAAATAGTTTTTTTTATACGGAGAAACCATAGATATGTTTCAAACTGGCAAGGGGGTGGGGGGACAGAAAAGATACCGCTTGAAAGACTGTTAATCAGACGTTTAAAAGGGGAAGGAAGGGGGGGTGGATAGCTTCAGAAGCTTGCCCCTCTCTAGACAGAAGGAAAGGGTGCTGAGCACAGAAAAGGCAACACTGAGAGCTGCCTTTGGAAATAAATGACCATGCAGAAAATCACGTTTGCAGATTGCATTAGAATTCAAATTAACCAGACAGGATTAAAACAAATCTTAATTCTCTCTTGGGGCCACTATCCAGACCCCCTTCCCACTCCCAAATAGAAAGATAAAAGAAAGTGGCTAACAGAAAGAGGAAAGGCTAAGTTAAAAATCAAAGAGATTGAGATGCTTCCAAATCTATCCCCATTCATTTGGAATGGTATTCACCTCTGTAATTTCAACTAGATTTAACCTGGGAGGGGATTAGAAAATATGCTATTTTGCAATCAGAAAAAAAAACGGGAAAAAGAGTTGTACTATAACACTGCTCACTGCAGTCCAGCTCAAATATTTCCATCGCTAACGGCTGGTAAAGATATCTGGTCAGCGAGGAGAAGCAAAAACATTTTAGGGATGGGAGGGGCTGGGGCCGCTTTTAAACTGGGTTTTTGAGAAAACTCATAAGATCTGTCAGAGAAAGGAGAACTGTGCAGCTTTAAATCACAAGTCCTTCTCTCGCCTTTGTCAAATATCTTCTACTTTACAAGCCCTGAAAAGAAATAGACTCTTTTGTTTGGTTTCCCTTTTTCGGAGGGTGACATAAAATTGAAAGGGGCACAAATAAACCTGAAAAAAAGAAGAACAAAGTGCCGGGTCGCGCCGGGCAGCGGCGCCCAGCCCCGAGTCTGCGTGCCCGCAGCCTGGCCGCGAGCTGCCCGTCCGTCCGTAGGTGCAACTTGGGTTCGCCCAGCGCCCCGAGACCTGACCCGGGCACAGACCCAGGTCGGGCGGCGGGGGGAGGGGGGCCGCGTCTGGAGCCAGCTCGTCGAAAGGGGGAAACGCCAAGTGGCTCCCTCTCGCCTGGCGCCCTCTCATTCAGGGGCGTCCTGGGGCGAGAGGTCCCTCAGCTCGCTCCCGCCCGCCTCCGCCTCGCTCCGGTGGTGCGAGAGGCACCGGAGGAGGGGGTGGGGGGGGGTGACAGGACAGACTCCGGGCAGCCGGCGGGGATCGCCGGACCAGATTCCGCAGAGACCCCCCGGGTCCCCGCCCGTCGGAGCCCACAGAGAAGCGGCCGCTGAGCCGGTGTTAAACGCCCCCCCCCAGCCTCAAATAGCGGGGGGAGGGGGGGAAGGTAGAAGGAAAGCAGAAAAGAGAAAGGGAGAGGAAGAAAGAGGCCGGGCGACAGGCACGGGAAGAGGAGGGAGCGAGCGGCCCGGCCCGACTCGCCCCGGCCGGCATTGTCTGCGCGGCCCGCGCCCCCTCCCCCGCCCCGCACAGCCCCACCACACACCCGAGTCGGAGCCCCGCCGTCCGCCCGCTCCTTTGTCCACATCCGCCCCCCCCGGCACCGGCGAGCAGCTCTCCAGGACGTGCGTGCGGAGGGGAGCGGGCGCCGAGGAGCGGGTCGGGGACGCCGGCACCCACCCGCGGACCCTGCCGAGGGGCGCGTCCTGCTGATTCATTTCCCACTCGCGCCGGCCCGTCCGGGGAGCCAGGGGGCGGGGACCGCTGTGAGGAAATGGGCGCAGCGCTCCGAGAACCGTCCGGGCCGCAGAGGGCACCGGGCGGGCGGGGGAAGGGGTGGGGGGGGGAGTGCGGACATGAGCCGGCCGGGCGGAGCGGGGGGACTGACCCTGAAGAAGAACGGGCTGCCCTCCCCCCCGACTGACCGACAGACGGACAGACGGCCCGAGGTCGCCCCCGTGACTCACCGACTTGCAGGACGTTGTCGACGCAGCCGCTCTCCAGCAGCGCGATGCCCCGGCGGAAGGGCAGCCGCGTCTCGTCGCCGCTGTCCGCCGCCCCG